TAATCAGCAAAAGTGATCTCTTGTCAACTTGACATACACATTGCTATTAAGCCTCAACCTTTCATTTCTTATTCATCCCCAAGATCTCACATTAATATAAACATTGGGGTATAAAATATTCCAAATTTTAAAAGTCCCTTATCTTTAAATTTTCACTCGTGGTAAAATTCAATTTCTTTTTTAAGTTCAGTTTCTCAACAGTGGCATCCTGGAAAAATGAAAATAAATACTTTATTACTTTAAGAGGGAAGAATCAGAGCACATTCAGAAGATGAAAAAGCAAAATCAAAGCCCAAAAGTTTAAGTAACACAATGTGAAATTATCTGGGATTCACTTCTGGGATCCTCCAACAGGCCTGGACCACTTCTCCATCTCGGCCCTCTGCAACTCAGAGAACTTGTCTTCTAGAGTCCAGTTTGCTTCGTTCCCACTCCTTTGTCATCAAATGGTTTTTACACCTCTGAAACCCTGGGGTCTTCTTCTGAAACTGGGATTCATTTTCTCCCACATCCTCTCCTAGGTTCTGTTCATGGTGCCAAGCCTCAAATTCCATGTACGACTCCTTCAATCCAGTGCCTTCAAGTGCTACTCTGGCTACATTTTCATCTATGGCCTCTACTGGCCTCTCACAACGTCAAGCCTCTGTTGCTCTCCGTGACCCCTTCATGCCTTCAAAACCAGTGCCATCTGGGTGACTCTAACACTGCCAAGTTTGACTGTCAGCACAAGATGCAAGGTTAGCCACTCTGGATCACACTTTGTGTGATCTCAAGAAAATTCTTCCCGAGGATTTCACCTCAATGTTGTCTGTCTCTTCAGCTCTAGCCGATCAGCACTGAGTATCCCAGTAAAGCAAAGATTTCACTTATAGTAGTTCTTGTATCTAGTTAATCACAACCAATTCTTCATCCTCAGCTAACCAGAACCGAGATTTTTAATTCAAAATAACAAAAAGCTGTGTAAGAAATTTTAAACATCTTTCTGAAACATTACAGGGCAGGCCTCTATCATCATTGCCCTGATCATTCTCATCATCCTAGCTCCTGACAAACAAACAGCTCACCATGCATTGAACATTCAATGGCTTCTTTTTTTTTTTCCCCCACAACTTTCCAAAGTCCTTCCAGAACCCTCCGAAGCAGCATGGTCAGGTCTGTCCCAGCAACACCCCACTATTCTGGCACTAACTTTAGTTAGGGTTGCTATTGCTATTATGAAACACCATAACCAAAATCACCAAAAGTTGGGGTGTGGGCATTTCTTTAGCTTACTCTTCCACTTCATAGTTTATCACTGAATGGAGTCAGAAGAGGAGCTCACGCAGGGTAGAAACTTGAGGCAGGAGCTAATGCCAAGTCCACGGAAGGGAAGGGTGTTGGTTACTGGCTTGTTCCCCCCCCCCCAAATGGCTCTCTCAGCCTGCCTTTCTATAGAACCTAGAAAAACTGGTTCAGGGAAAGGCTCATCCCACAACCAGCTGTGACAAACCCTTCTCCACCAATCACTCACTAATTAACAAAGCATCTTAAAAGCTGGGCCTTGTAGAGGCATTTTCTTATTTTAGGTTCCCTCCTTTCTGGTGACTCTAGCTTGTGGCAAATTGATTTAAAACTAACCAGACAGATGAATACTCAGCAAGTACCAGCAAAGAAGATTCTACTTTAAGTGTACCAAACAGAATTTAGATACATGAAAAGAAAAAACTAAAGAAAAGTAAAAAAAAACTGTTCTTTCCATATATATAATTTATGTGAATACAGACAATTCTTTGTTTTTCGATATTTACACACCCCTCTATTCACACATCTAACCAACTTTTATCATAAGAAAAATCCATAAAACAATGACTAGATAAGAATTACATTCCTTTTTAATATTGCCAGGATTACAATTTGAGAAAATTAATAGAATTGATGGAAAAAATAACAAACTGGATATTTGATTGGTCTTAATAAATGTTTATTTCTTGCACTTGTTATAAATTATATATTAGATGTACATAATATTCACTAAAAGTTTTCTCATAAATTATAATATTAAATTTGGTTTCTGTCTTCATGGTTGATTCCATTACAATACTGACAAAAATATGAAGCTATATATTGTTGTCTTTTCTATTATCGATGCTTAGAATTTTATAGAAGTTATGAAGAAAATTGTGAGGTTGCAATCACTGTAAGAGGAAAGTACTCTCCCTCATTTTCTCACCCTATGGAAATGAGTTGAGACAGATAGAAATACAGAGATCACAGCTTAAGGATCACGATGAGAACTGCACTCCACAGCTGGACACTCTTTCACAAACATTTCCAGCCATTATCATTTACTGTTGATTGTGGCATTTGAAAGAAGAGTAACATATAATTGCCTTAAAGTTTTATTTCTAGATCATTTTCATCCAAACTCAACCGTTCCTATCTCCATTAACCTGTACTTGAATCTGTTAGTGGATCATTTTTGTAAACTTACAAACAATTTAGAAAATCAGGTACATCGTTTTTATAGGAATAACCTTGCACTGACTTTTACACTTATAGCCTCCTGTTCTTTAATATCTAAGAATATTTTCTGAGTGGTGATGGGGAGCTGGAAATCAGATAGGACAGAATTGTTTTTATTTAAGGAATATGAAAAAAAAAACCCACTGGCTTCATTTTAAAAAGTAAAACTATGATTTGGATATATGGATACCATATTATCTAATTTCAAATCTTGAAGTCATTATAGAAAAAACTTGTTAGCTCAGTCAATAAATTTATATCGACATACTTCTGAATGATTATGCAGGCTAACCAATAGTTAAGCAATATGTTAGAAGGAATGTAGTCACTATCGCTTCCTTTCAATCAATGTACACCCACATTTATGCTGAATTCAGTCTAACCTACTTAAATAATAGTATTCATTTAATGTCTCTTATAAGTGTATAGTTTCCAAATTGTTCAGAAATATTTAAGATCATGCTCAGGGAAATCTTTCTGAGAAGCTCAAGTTTTAGAAGACACCAATAAACAGAAGAGTGCATAGGACTGAAAACAGAATGTCATTCCTGGCTAAGTGAAAGAACAGGTGAGAGAAAATCACAGCTCCTGGTGACATCAGTAAATGCAGGCCTTGACAGGCCTTGACTGCACCACCCAGTAGCAGAGCAATCGATACCAGAATTTGTAAACGCTTATTTTGTAGAAAAGAGTAACTAGAACCTTTCTTTAAAGCATGAGACTGTGACCGTTAGTGGAAAACACATTTGTTAGCATTGTTCACTCACAGAGGATCAGAGGTTTTAGCTGAGTCTGTATGGGAAAGGGGTACGCAACTCTCTTTTTTTGGGATCCATCAGACAGACAAAACAGTGTCATCTGCAGTGCTCTTTTCATGGGTGGAAATAAGATTTCCCTGTATTTACTTTCTTGTAGACTCTCAAATAAGAATAAGAGACAGATGCTACTTTTAGTGAGCAAGTTACATGAGAAATGTGGAAATTCAAATGAACGTATTCAGATGACTACTCATATACCAGTATTCCTTCCATCAGAATAAATCTATTATAGTATTAGAACAGATTATAGTAGAAAAATAGACTAAAATACACAATAATATAATAAAGTTATATGTGAGAACGAACAATAAAAGATTAACATTATCCACTTTGTATTACATATGTTTAATAATCTAATTAACTTAATGTTTTAGTTAATAATATATGCACATACATATACTTGGGTAAGCAATAACATGTAATAACTCTGTAATAAAAATACTTTATACTGCTGCCTATAAACTGGAAATTTTAAAGAACGCTTTATGTATTAACTTATTTTGCTCAAAAGGGAAAACTAACCACAAAGACTTGATGAAATACAGTTATGCAAATTTACATAAATCCTTCAGGAAAGAAGCATAGAGAACAAGTGGATTAATAACTAACAATATAAACTACTGATAAATTCATATGTAGTATATATCTTACATAGATGCATTCTCATACACATACAATAAATTTATTTTAAATAAATAGCCATTTCTATGAAATAAATATTTTGTGTATATAATAAAGCAGAGGATAAGAAAAGTATAAGCAAATAGAAATATGAATCATTAATTCTGTTTTGTATGTATTGAAATCATTTTTCTGCTGTGAAGGTCAAATACTATGTACCCTCTTAGCATTTTAGGTTCTGTGTTAACTTTTTGTTGATTATTTGCTCATTTCTCCTGACATTTGAATTAGGGTGCAGATTCATCACAACAATTTTTCTCTATCAAAAGTAAGTTTTCTTGTTTCTTGTGGGCTTTTCCCCCCTGAATGGTATATAAAACACTGAAAGGTTAAAATCACTGAAATCTTTGGCCGAGAAAGGAATAAAACAATGTTATGAGTAGAGATTTCTTTGTGAGTGGAGAAAACATTCAAAAGCACATTTTAGTCATGAAGAAAATGATGATATTAAATGCACTGTATTTTAGAAATATTAAAGAATCTGAATGGCTACCTTTTAGATAGTATTTATGAAATGAAGTAAATTAATAATTTAATACAACTTCTATTTAAACAAGCAGCATATGTGGTATGAGAAACAATTTTGGAGGAGACACTTTGACCTCATAAACTTTGTTATTTGTGCCCATTAGTCACTAAGAAGAAACAGAATTAAAACAATTATGAAAGTGAGGAAATGCGAAGGTGAAAAATTGAGTGATATATACATTATAGAATTTTAATTATGTATCTAATAGGAGATATCATTATGCTCCATTTTGTATTCTTTCATCTCCACACCTGGCAAAGAGTGATTGACATACTGAAAAGTGAAGCCATCTAAGACTGTACCTGTAAGTTGTCATGCAATGTGACTAATGCCATAACAAAAGTTGTCGAATTCTCATAAGCATAGATGGTATTTGCTAGGAATGTATTCATTGTTGATTTTACAGTTTCCCTTTTAACAAACATTGCTAAAATAAACAACAAAATGTACGTGAATAATTTATGGCTTACCGTTAACAATAACAATGATATCTCGGAAGTCAATCTCTCCCCTAGCCTCTACTCTTCCTTCACATCTGTATATACCTTCATCACTTTTATTGATGTTGAGAATCTGCAAATTATTGTTTGCAAGCACAGCAAACCGATCTGAAAAACAAGCAAAGGAGAAAAAATAACATCAGTAATTGAGGCTAAGTTCAGAGTCCTCTGAATTTCTCAGAATTAAAATGCAGTACTTTTCTGACACTATCCAACTTTTCATCAACCACAAATTCAAATTTGAAAGTAAAATGTAATTTTATGACTTCACGTTTTCAACTCTACCTCTGCCTTGATATATCCCCCTCTAAAATATGTGCAAGACTTGATATCCACATACAATGGTTAGGCTATTATTTTCTCCTTGGTGCTCTGAATGCAGAAATGATACAGAAAAGAACAATGCAAGGAGTTTAGACATTGCTGACTTGACAATATTTAAATGCAAACAGACACTTGGCTATGAAAAACTTTTATAGAATTTATTGTACAGCCTTCCCCAAGAATAATTTTTTTTTAATTTTTGTATTTTTATTTTATTTTTCTTTTTAGTTACATTTTGTTAACTCTGTGTCCCAGCTGTATCCCCCAAGAATAATTAAGCTGCCATTTTTTTATAACCTGAGTAGCCAGCCAAATAACACACTAATGCTCAAACACAGAAAGGATATAAAAATGGTTATGCCTTCAACTAATTTAAGTAATTCTTTTTTTTGCAAATTACATATTAATCTTCTTTAGTAATAATTACATGCAAGCATTAATTTTTATTTCAAGGTTTTATTTTGTCTGTTCACATGCACAAAAAATGTAAGCTGAAAGGCAGATATTATTTCATTCTAACTGACTGCTAAAAGTGTTATATTTTTTTAGTTAATTTACTTTATATGTATGTTTTACCTTTGTGCATATATGTGTACTACGGACATGCCTGTTGAATCCCTTGAAAATGGTTTTACAGATGGTAGTGAGTCACCGTGCGGATTTGAACCTGAGTCTTCTACAAGAACAAGCACACTTAATCACTGAGCAGAACTAAATGTGTTATGAAATGATGTGTACAAGTTTCAGAGATGCTTAACCACCACCTCTACTAAACACCATTATCAAAGATGTTTCTGTAATACTAATGCTTTTCTTAATATGTAAATAATGCTCTCATATATAGTTCTACTGTGTTAAGGATTTTAAAATAAAATTGTTTTATTTTAGATTCCTCTTGCACAGTAAATATTTTATATCCTCTTAATTAATTACTTAATTAATCCATATATAGCATTGAATATCAATTTCTGACTAGATATGCCATTTAATAGATTTTAATTATTAAAGTTGTGTGTCTTTATTAACTTTGAATATTTGCATCAAATACAATTTCTACTATTCAGACTACTAAGTTCCTACAATATTTTTTGTCTAGCTGCTACTTTTTTGCCTGGTCCAAAATTTATTGATTTTTCTTCTCCATCTTTTGGCCTAACAGAGAAGCATGAAAATCACAGAAGACATTTGTGAAAAATAAAAAATTAAAGAAAGAGGAGGAGGGGGAAGAAGGGAAGAAAGAAGAAAAACTTGTCACCTGGAGTCCTGGTAAAAAAAAAAGAAAAAAGGAAAAAGAAAAAAAAAAACCTACTATTATCTACACGTAGTCAAATACAAGTGTAGTTTTCCATCATTTTTTTTTAATGAGATGGAGAGATTTTTATAGTATCAGAATGACATAAATTTCATTCCTCAGGTTGTAAGTTATTGTCAGTTATTTTGTAATAGGTATTTGTTTGAGATGACAGTTAGCAAAATTAAGAGGCCAACTAAGAAAAAGAGCACAAATTACGAAGACAAAGACAATTAATTCACTCCAAGTACACGTGAAATTTTCCATTATGATTATTCTCTTGTTTTAACCTAAGAGCCAAGACATTCACAGAGAGCCTCTCCCTGCTAAGTAAAAAATGGAACACGAAATGTCTTCACCAAAGCAGCCACTAGGCTGGGGAAGAGGGAGCTCTGTAGAATATGTAAGGTACCAGTCACTGGACTCCTGGAAAGAGGAGGAACTATCCAAGAGGATCCAGAGTCAATTAGGTATGTTCTATCAAAAATTTGTTGGACACTAGCACAAGATAAAATTATGTTTAAGTTGGGAACAACAGTAATGCTAGTTTGTGCCATCATGGATTATGGAAATATCACAGGGCTCTACTCCTAGATTAAAAACTACAGACAATTAGTAACTATTAAGAGAGAGAACTGGCTTCCCCCTGAGATGAACCCTATTTAGTTACCCAATAAGCAGCTGTCATCCCTAAAATCAAATACATAAAAGTAACACTAAACAGACACAGTACGTTATGCAGATATTTATTCAAAATATTTGTACAATACGTATTAGTTACAATTAAGAAGAGACCACCCTGAATTTGTAAGCAAGTGAGAGGCAGCATTTAAAGGATTGGAGAGAGAAGGAAGGAGAAAAAAATTTACGTGATATTTTAATCAAATCATTGTTAAAGGAAATAATTTTCTTTAATGACATTCAAGGACATGTGAATGGTCCCAATTACATGATGGTGACTGTGTGTTATTTTCCAACTTTATAAAACAGTTAAAACCCTAGAAATGTCAAATCTTTCAATTACATTATTTCATACTTTTACAAAAGCATGCTCTCTTATATATTTATGTCCACAAAACTCCCTATAGTAAAAACAATCTTTGTAAAACGACACATAAAATTCCACATGTGTTTATAAAGCCCACAGATGGTGGCAAGCTACAACAACAAACCACATCATTGATTCAAGTGCCCTAAAAAAAGTTACTTCAAGAAGTCATAAGTAACTATGGGTCTGCAAATAACCACCGAAAATGAGGAAATTCTGATGTATAGGAGCTTTCTTCATGCTGGAGCTCTTTGGCAGGAAAAGCCCTCTTAAATGATTCTCTTGTAATATCATGGTGGATATCTGACTCACATCTTCTATAAGAAGCAAGTGAGACAAATACTTTGAGGCCTTCCTCATCTGATCTTTTACTGTCAGTTCAGTAACCCATGACACATTAGTAAAGGAAACTCCCAGACCGTCTGCATAATCTTAAGTTTATACAACTGTTTTCTCAGCTGTAAGTCCAATTTTGTTACACTAGCTGTGAAAGAGAGAATTAATTAAATGCAATGCAAAAAATTTTATACCTATAAATCTAAATATGCAAAGTATTTGAGTATTAACTGTTCAGAATCTGCTTCTAATATTCCTACCTTAAAAAGTTTGATACAAATAATTCCATTATTTTATTTTCATAGCACACTATACAGCTCAATATTATATTTCAATTTCAAAACTATTCATATCTATTTTGTAGATAATAGTTTTTTTTAGGCATAAACTAAATATATATAATTGTGGTAAAACTTGTTCTCATCTTTAAAAACAGAATAAAACGTAAAACATTAGTAAAATATATGTCGTGATTGACAAGCACACACTTAGCAACATATTTATTCATTTATAAAGCAAACATTTAAGAATCTGCTTGAAATGGAAGCATTGATCCATTGTCTACCAATGGGAATATTTCATTGAAGAGCACAGGAGTTTACAAATCTGTTTAGAGTTTCAAGACCAAGTGCGGAAGTACAATAAATGGGAACTCCAGATCTGCATATTCCAGTGTGGGATGGGGGTCAACTATGTCAGCTATGCTAAATCTTCATCATAACTGCACTTCTCCAACAGTCTTCACCTTGTTCAAAGTCCTACTTTAACAATATTACTCATTTTAAATCTTGTTGTGATTAGGGTTACAAAAGCCTGTGTGTAAATGTGAACTTCAATATTGGATAAAGTGAAAATGTGAAGAGATCGTCATTTATTTTAAAGAAACTTGTTGTCCTTTCAGCTTGAGAGGAACAATGCTGGAAACACTTTGTAAAAATTGCTCACATAATTTGTGTAAGGCTTGATGGACTTACATAGTAAAACAAAAGTAATTAAATGTTATGTTTTATTAAAAGGGAGTTTATCATTAGCTGACAAGTACTTATATTATGCTTGGTGAATTATCTTAAAATAAAAAAATGACTATTAAATGTAATTATGACAAACCCTGTCTATATACTTAAAATAGACATTCTACTTCCCATCCTTTATGTTGTGGAAATTTCATCTCTTCAAAAAACATAATGGAATCATCCAACATAGAAAATACTTTAAAACATTCAATTATTTTGTATCTCTATGTAATGCAGGTGCACTGAAAAAAGAAATGCACCAAATTGAAAATGTCCCTATGCATGGTCGTAGAGTAGCATAATGTAAGCAAATTATGCTTTCAATTTCAAATGTCATATTCTGGAATTTTGCCTTAGTCTGAACCAAAATCGTGATGACAATTTGAACAAATATCCTTTTCTGTCTATTATCTATACTTACCTTTCCATAATTTTTAGAACATGCTGCTATCTCTGAGAGAGCAACCATAGCATGTCGGGCAGATTTCACACGGGTATTTTATTCTCACTGTATATAGTGTTCTCATGGCATCATACCGGAATGATAACAAGTAGAATCTGTATGCTCCGATGGGCACTATTTTAATTGCTTTGCACTGTTTAGCAATGTCGGAGGCAAGCACACAGTGTCCTGTATCAGCACACGTGCTGTCTGTTTCCTTTCTGCACCAGTTCACTTGTCGTCTCTGCTGCCAAGTCTGCCAGATACTGCACAAACTACAGAGCATGGCTGTATATGCTTGCTTGCTCCTTTGCTTCTTGTTTTGTTTTCACATGCAATCATGTATTCCAAGTTGACTTTGGAAATGTTATGAAACTGAAGTGGCCTTCAACTCCTGATTATTCTGCATCTGCCCAGTCCCACAGGGGCTGGGATTACAGGCACATGTCACCATGGCTGTCCTCATGGCTTTCTTTCGCTAGCGATTAAAATTACCAACAGTATAGTATTTGTCCAAAGTCCTGAGTAGTGCAAACCTGTACCTAGTTCTTAGGTTTCAGAATTGTTTGACTCTTGGAGCGAAATGTGTACCATCCTTTTGGTTGCTATATGTATATTTGTTTCTTGGATCTGACTCTTGCTAGGTGGTCCACAGTGGTTTTGAAACCGCAAACCTCCTGTGCCTTCATTCCCGGTGCTAGGAACACTGGCATACAATATCATGCCTGACTCTTTATTTCTTTTACTACAATAGAGAACTTCTGTATTTGTAAAACTTGAAGGATTTTTAGAACATATAACGTAGGGAGTTACCAAAATACTAACTGTCGGGAATGGTGGTGACTTCCTCATTGTGATACAACCAGCTGACAGCAGGGGCAGGAGAACTGCTCACTCTGCAAACCACTTCCGCGTCTTCCCCTTGCTTGAATTCTTGTGGGGACGCCACATCTCTGAAGGTGAGTTTTTCTGCACCAAGAAGATAAAACCGCTTGTAAAAGATTTATTGCTTACCTAACTCAACATTATTGCCATCTATCATTATTAGTGTAATGAGGTTCTAGATATTTTCAGACTTCATCAACAGTGATCTCATGTTTTCAGTGCCTTGCCAATGTTCTCCAAGAATTCAGTTTTGCTTGTGTTCTCTTAAGCTTTGTCGAGTGTGACATTTGCTGTCCCGGAAATTAGCTTTTAACTTCAACACTTTGAATTCTCTACCCCATTTAATTTATTTTCCTTGAAATTCCACTACATGTATATATAGCATCTATATATTTTTAGATTATTTATATGTAAGACTTAGAACAACATTGATTAGACAAAAATAAGTGTCTTGGCTTAATGAATCAGTACAGATATTTATGTTCAATAAATAGTTTTTCACAAAAACATGAAATGTTTTGGCAGTATAAAATTAATTCAACTTCAGTTTAAGAAATAAATCAAAGATTTTTTGCATCATTCAAAAAGTAATGAAAAGTGTTGTCAAATATTATTCCTATGAATTATCAACTTATTTCTTTTTGGTAATTTTGGGACAAACTACCATGGGATAGACTTATATAAAGAAAATATCTTTTCCAAAAAATTTTAACAGGACATGCAGAGAAAGAGCGACAGATGAACACATTCGAGGGGAAAAGTGTATGTTTGTTTTAATATATCTTCTTTCCAGAGCAATGAAAAACAAAATGGTGAAGAGCAAGATATTTCTGAGTTAAACATATGTACTCAAACCCCCTCAAATTTATTGCTAAGTGCCAGTTTTTACTATCAAGCATATCTTATTGTGTTTGAATCCTTTGGAACAAAACTGCTGTTTCAATAAACTAAGCTACAAATCCACAACTTACGGTAAATTTCCAAAACTACTGTGGCTTCTTGTGTCTGTCCTTTGGCATCTGTCGCTTGGCAGCGATATATCCCTGCATCTTCTATATTTGCATTGTAGATGGTTAGTCGTGACCTAACCCCTTCCTTCTGAAGCATAACCCTCTGTGTGGAAATGATTTTCTCTCCTTGAGGATTGTACCAGTCTATACTCTCAGGCTCACCAATTGCTGCAGAGAGGAAAACAAATGTTTGAAAATCAGTTTCCAGTGTTTGTTTTCACAGTGACATTTACTATTATGTAACAATTGCAGTAATTTAGAAAAGAATGTTAATAGAAGCCTGGAAATCTGAAAATTGTACAAAACTGAAAGTAAACACAAATGTTAAGACAAATGTTCATCTTTGTTTAATCAACATTAAGGACTCCGTCTGGTCCAAGTAAGCCAGTTTCAAACATTTCATCTGAAATATATTACTGGAAATTAAGCTGTGAGAATTGAAGTTCCACAGTCATACTATATGGGTTATTATTGCACAAAATATTAAAACCACCTTAAGCAGACACAAGCCCAAATGATAGATATTGCTAAAGAGAAACAAATGCTAACAGCATGCCGTATGTGCAGTTCTCACTGCTAAGGTCATGAAACAGAGGCATATTAACACACAGAGAGAAGTGTCACAAAGATGTAAATATTTTGTAAAAACAAATTTTGGCCTTTGATATTTCTAAATTTTGAACCAATTTTCCAACTTGTTCAAGTTGTGTAGAAATGCCAACTGTTATTTAAAAAAGAATCCTAATGTCTTTTCTGAACTGAAATAAGTTAGTTACCTTCATCTAAAATTATTAACTATTTAATCACTTAATAATTAGAATACATTGAAAAAGCACTTAACGCTGCTTAGCAATTACAACAAAATAATTACAGTGTAAACATTAATTTAAATTTTCCAACTCCGAATCTAGGTAAGTAACCACTTTATAAAAACTGAAGCTTCCTGCATTTGCTTTTGGATAAAAAGAAAAGAAATATTTCATCTAATCACTAAGGACAATTTTAGTTAACATAACAGGCATCCCCTCAAAATTAAAAGCAGTGGGAAATACATAAAGTTAACAGCAACGGGTCATCTGTGTGGAAAATTATTTCTTCTTATTTTATTTTCTGAAATTATCCATAAATATTTTTCTCTGAAAAAGAATGTAGACAGACCCAAGGAATATACAATAAAAATAACATAAATGAGCATTAGTTCAATATGGAATAAATAAAAACAATCACAAATTTTAAACTTAATATGATATCTTAGGAAATATTTTAGACAGTGAACTTTTTAATATTATAATAAGGAATTTTCATACCACAGAGAGGTCACAGGGTTTTCATGTAAAAGTTATATTGCTTTTTTTAGATTGTCAAGCAAGTAATGTTTTTTTTTTTAAATATTCCATATAAAACCTGAACATGTCTATGGATATATTATTAAAATCATCAAAGTCATTATTTGTGTGAAAGCATAATTAAAATATTCACTGTATATTGACAGTCTTAAATGAATAAGGGGGTAGGCCATCTGCTAGTTTAAACTTTACTTGCAGAGTTTCAGAGAGCCATGTTTTTGAAGTATTTGAATTTAAAATATTCTCACATATTGACCACCTGAGTAGATAAAATAATGCAAATTCTAATTTGCATAGTTTCTATGCAAATAGTTACTCCGTTTACTGTTAAGAAACTCAATAAATCATTAAATGTAATATTTTCAAAATTTTAACTTTACTATGTTATTTTTGCATCTGATTAAACGCTATATGTATATATGTAAATATGTTTATATAATCAAATTACACTAATACACAAAATAAAATATTTGTGATTTTTGAAAAGATTTTAAACTTTCCATATGATGTAATTTTATAAAAAGTAAGGTATTTGTATATACTTGCTTATGTGAAGATAAAGCATATATAAAATTTAGGAATAGTAATCTATATTCTAGGCCCAAATTCCTCTGTCATGTGTGTCAATTGTAAAGTAATAATTATTCGCCATGGATACACTGTGTTGCCATATGTGACATTTACGATACATAGGGAAGCAGACTAAAACACACACACACACACACACACACACACACACACACACACACACACAATAGCAATAACATTGTCAAGACAGCTTTTTCATTTTTGTGTGATCCTGGACACTTAAATCAGAGCTTTGCATGCATTAGGCAAGCACTCTACCAGTAATGTATACTCCTAGTGTGCTAAGTATATTTGTATTATTAATGCCGTGGAATATTATAGCCATCTGGATTTACAATATGTTACTATAATCAAAAACAGACTAAATTTAAAAGTAGCCTCACAATTTGTTTAGTAAATACCATTGAATATTTTATATAAAAGCTTGTGTTCATAAGTGCTGATATATTTCATATAAGTGGATGAATAATGTATTCATTTGAGATTTCTGTAATATAATGTATTAAAGCTTTCTTGTAAAGTATATAAGGGATGTCTATAAAAAATTAAAATCATAATTAACTGAAATCAGGGTTATATAATTTTCTGCAGATATGTAATGGAAAACATTGATTAATTATAACAACTTTTCCAAAATCTTTTCTGATTAAAAATCTATTTTTAATTAGAATTTATACTTCAAAAATATATACTTTATTTTGTCTTTTACCTTTCCTTCAGGTATTAGAATTATGCAGTGTCATATCTAACTTAATCATTATTTACAAACAAGGATATTCAGAACTTATACAACTATTAAGATGGGAATACTATTTAAACCAATAGTTTTTATGCAAGAATATATTTTATAATGTAATTTTATAATTAAATAAGCTACTCTTTCCTGAATATACCTGATAAGCTAGGGTCAGATGGAAGGAGAGGAGGACCTCCCTTATCTGTGGACTAAGAAGGGGGCAGGGAGGAGATGAGGGACTGAGGGGAGGATTGGGAGGAAATGAGGGAGAGGGATACAGCTGGGATACAAGTGAATGACCTGTGATTAAAATAAATAATAAATAACTAAAATTTAAAAATAAGCTACTCTTATGATCAAATAAATAACAGTAAATTCATGTTAATATGTAACTATTGTCAACCTTTTTCCTGTCATATAACCAATAACAAAATGTTATTTTTAGTGACATCAGTTTTAACTACTTGAATTTATCCAGTGTATTTTATACACACTATAGCACAGAGCTCATTGCTTGAATACATACCTGTACATGTGAAGAATTTCGATTCACCAACACTAAGCTCTACTTTGCTGAGTGAAATTGTCACTTGAAGAAGAGCTGAAAAAGAACATTTAAAGTAACAGTTATTTGGAGTTTTGAATGTGAATCCCAATAATTGATGTATAAATCACACATGACAAATAATTTCCCATTATTCACTGTGAAAAAAATGTAAGTTTTATAAATATATTCTAGCAAAGATATATGTTACAATAGTTTGTATTTCATACCAGTCTATACATAGCATTTACATATGTTTATTCATTAAAATTTTGTTAGGCATATAATGGATAAAATTCATACTTAGCTGTCCCCTAACAATAAGAAGGTCTTATACATCTAATAATATTTTATAATATATATAAAAAAAGTTCTACCCAACAATCAGAATTTTGGCAAAATCATACCTTATATCATCATTGTAAGAAAATAAGTAAATAAGGTATGTTTTGACTAATCACATCCTTACAAAAAGAGGCAAACACAATAAATAGCACCTTACCCAGGGAAAGTGAATGAACAGAAACACTCAAAAGATAAATAGGATCACTTACATTAACCAGTCACCTCACAAAGTTTGGTTCTCTGTCTCTGCCTCTGTCTCTCTCCCTGTCTCTCTCCCTCTCTCTCTCTCTATATATATATATATATATAGATATATAGATATATATCTATATCTATATAGATATAGATATATATCCCAGATATAGCCTCCTCTTTCATCTCCTTCTGTTCTACCTTCTTCACTCTTTTTGCCCCATTTCACTTCCCTAGTCCACTGATGGGAGAAGTCCTCCTCCCCCACTGTCTGACCCCAGCCTATCAGGTCCCATCAGGACTGCCTGGGTCCTCTTCCTCTGTGGGCTGGTGAGGTTAACCACCAGGAAGAAGTGATCAAGGAGCAGGCAACCAAGTTCATACAAAGATCTCTTTTCCTCTTATTAGTGAACTTACATGGAGACTGAGCTGTCTATGGGCTACATCTGAGCAGGGGGTCTAGTTCCTTTCTATGTATGGTCTTGAGTTGATGCATCAGTCTCTGCAGTGCCCCCTGGGCCCTATTTTTTGGGAGGGGACTTTGTCAGTTTCCTTGTGTGGCTCATGTCTCCTATAGATCATTTTATATCCTCCTTTTTCCATAAGAATCCATGCACTCTGTACAAAGTTTGGCTGTGAGTCTCTAAATCTGCTTTGATCCCCTGCTGGTTGGAACCTTTTAGAGGACATCTGTAGTAAGCTCCAGTCCTGTTCCCTGTCTTTTATTGATTCCTGTGTCTATCCTGTTTTCCTTTCTGAATGAGAAGTAAGCATCTTCCCTACAATCCTCCTTGTCATTTAGCTTCTTTAGGTTTGTAAATTTTAGTATGTTTATCTTATATAATATGGTAATAGGGACAAGGAAAGGCTGACCACTCTTTCCATATCTCTTCAACATAGTACTTGAAGACCAAGCTAGAGCAATAAGAGACTAAAAGAGATCAAGGAGATACAATATGGAAGGAAGGAGTCAAAGAATCACTATTTGCTGACAATATGAAAGTATACATGAGTAACCCCAAAAATTCTACCAGAGAACTTCTACAGTTGATAAACACATTCAGAAAAGTGGCTGGATACAAAATTAACTAAAAAAAATCAACAGCCCTCCTGTATACAAAAGGCAAAATGAATGAATGAATGAAATTAGGAAACAACACCCATCATAATAGCCACAAATATCATAAAGTACCTTGGGGTAACTCTATCCAAGCAAGTAGTGTATGAAAAAATACTTCAACTCTAAAGAAAGAAGTTGAAGAAGTCATCAGAAGATGAAAATATATCCCATGCTCCTGGATCGGAAGGGTTAACATAGTAAAAATCCATCATACCAAATGCAATCTACAGATTCAATGCAATTCCCACCAAAATACCAATACAATTCTTTACAGACCTTAATAAAACAATTCTAAACTTCATATGGTTAATAAACAAACAAACAAACAAACAAAAACCCAGAATACCTGAAACAATCCTGTACAATAAATGATTTTCTGGAATTATCTCTATGCATGATCTCAAACTGTTCTCTAGAGCAACAGTAATAAAAACGACATATGTTACTGACATAGAAACAGACTGAAGGGTCAGTGCAATTGAATAGAAGACCCAGAAATAAACCCACACACCTATGGACACATAATTTTTGACACTAGAACTCAGATGCAGCACATGGCAGCTCAATAACCAAGTGGGTACCCTAGTAAGGGGAACAGAGACTGTCTCAGACATGAACTCAGTGGCCGGCTCTTTGATGGCCTCCTCCCTGGAGTGGGAGCAGCCTTGCTAGGCCACAGAGAAGGACAATGCAGCCAGTCTTGATGAGACCTGATAGGCTAGGGTCAGATGGAAGGGGAGGAGGACCTCACCTATCAGTCAGTGGACTTGGAGAGGGGCATGGGAGGAGATGAGGAAGGGAGGGTAGGATTTGGAAGGGAGTTGGGAAAGGTGCTACAGCTGGTTTACAAAGTGAATAAACTGTAATTAATAATATTTTTAAAAAAGATAAAAAAGAGCCAAGACCATACAATGGAAAAAAGATAGCATCTTTAACAAATGGTGCTGGTCTAACTGAGTGTCTATATGTTTTATAACTGTTGTACCATCAGTCTATTTTCTTTTGAAATACCTCTCTGGCTCCTATGTGAAAAATTTTAAAAATTATAATTGGTCTACTTTGCTACTCTAACTTCCTAAAAGAGATTTATTTTGTCTAACAGCACAGTTCTTGCCCAAGCTTGTCTTTAAAGTTTATTAATTATCTTTTTTTTTTTCTGTAAGTATAGGCACTAATGATTGAGGCATATTTTCCTACTGCTATGTTTTGCCTAATTTTATTTTTCTTCTGCTATAGTTTTGAACTCTAAATAACAACCCACATCCTATATTTAGAACAAGTCTAAATTTCAACAATTTAAAATTTTTCTGATAACTGAATCATATCAACAAATAATTACCTTTGACTAGGAAGGAGCATAGAGGTAGAAAAGGGAGGAAGGGTAGGATTGGGAGGAGACGAGGGAGAAGCCCACAGCCAGGATACAAAGTGAATAAAGTGTAATAAAAAATAATGATAATTTTTTTACATTAAAATAATAATAATAAGGCACTAGTTAGAAAAATAAAATGACAATTCTTCACTGAGATGGCACACTTCCTCCCACGAACTTTTAAAATCTTCTGAAATAATGTCATCAACTGGGAACCAAATGGTCAAATATGTGGTTCATCTCTTACAGAATATTATCCATCAAGTAACTCTATTATGAGGAATCAATGGTACTTCCCTATGTGTTAAGGGCAGAAAAACAAAAACAGAAAGAGAGGGGAAAAACAAAGAGAAGTAGGGAGCCTATTATAATACTGTATTAAAAATATTTCTTAAGTTAAGACATAAAAGCGTATTTTCATTTATTAATTTGTTATTATAAGATAATTACACCATTTCTCCCATTCCCTTTCCTCCTTCAAAACACTCCCATGTATTCTTCCTTCCTGTCAAATTCATACCCCCATTTCATTGTTATGTGGATATATAATATGCATACTATTATGTGCGTATGTACATATATAACCCTAAGTACACCCATATTAGTCTGTGTGATGTTACTTTTATGTATGAGAGCTGGCTATTTTCCATTTAATGACCAGTTGGTGTGTTCTTTCTTGAAGAAGACTATTTCTACCACTCATCATTCCTTATAGATTGCTTATAGATTTTTGTGTATGGGTGAGGCTTTGACTGTTTTCTACTTTCCATGTTAGCATATCTGTTGTTGTCTTCTTTGTTCAGCTCATGTTGAGGCAGTCATGTTGGCAAGACATTATGGGTGTAGCTTCCATAATTCCTAGAAAACACAATTTCACAGAAAACTCCCTAATTCTCTGGCTTTTGCAATCTTTCTGTGCCCTCTTCTCCAAAGACAGAGAAAGACAATGCAGCCAGTCTTGATGAGACCTAACAAGCTAGAAGGGGAGGAGAACCTCCCAGATTAGTGGACGGGGGGGGGGGCATGGTAGCAAAACAGGGAAGGATAGTAGAAATGGGAGGGGAAAAGAGAGGGGCCTACAGCTAGGATACAAAGTGAATAAATAAAAATAAATTAATTTAAAAAAGACTTAGAGGCAGAGGTTGTATTGTACATGTGTCAATTGATATTGGGATCCACAACTTTGAATTTAAGTTTTGGGTTGATGTATTAGACTATCTCTTACAAGAGAAGTTTCCTTGATGAGGTAGTGAGGATTGCATTTACCTCTGGTATATGTCAAAAGAGTTAGTAGTTATTTTTGTTTAGTAATGTAGTGTTTGTAGGATATCTCACTGCTCCCAAAGAGTTATCTAAGTTTCTAATGCAAGAAAAAAAATTATTTTTTGTTAAGCTAGTCATTACATCCAAGTATAGATTTTTTGGTAACCGCCTTATCACGCATGGCATTACTGCATCCTTAAAAGACTACATTTAAGTTCCATTTTTTAGTCACTAGACAGCCATATTTGAGGTGCATTATCCATTAATTTTGTATCTAATTATTTGTTATCTAATATAACAGATATTCTTAATATCTTTTGAAACTACTCTGATAAAACATTTCAAATGAGAAAAATAGCTAGCTAACATTTTTCAACCAAATCCAACTTATTGTTCCTTCCTATGTCTGCCAAAGAACACCACTATATTTCTTTAGTCCTTACTCTGGTATCTCACCGTATGTGATGTCACAATCACATACAGCCTAATCAGCAAGACCTGGAGATTCTGGGTGGAATTATTTCTGCGCCTATGTTTGATTTTGTTGTTGTTGGTTTATTTTAGGTTATGTGTCCATTTTATTTATCTATTTACTTATTTAATTTCAGAAAATCTAACGTATCTGTTGCAAGGCATAGGATTCCCTATTAATCAATATCACGAAATTTAGCCATCCTTACTTAATAAGAAATTCCAATACAAATCCCAGTGACCTAAGTCAGATTCACCTCTGTTGTGCAGATTCTTATATTCCCTTTCAAAATA